TCAGTTAAGCAGAACCCCTCTTTCTCATTTTATCTACATGGTAATTTACTAAGCATTAGACTCACTTATTTGTATCTTCTAATTTAAGAAGTCTCTGTTTTCATACTCATTAAATCTAATTATGTTCTTCAGGTACAAAGTTCTCAGAGTTTATACTATATTTTCTGAAGCTTGCCCTATTTTTCAAAAATTGGTGATTGTCTCTGTTGTTTTCTATAAAACTAGTTTTACAAAACAGCAGAGATCTTTATACAAACTCCTAATGGATGCCAAATACTTTATCTGAAGATGCTAATAAATTCCGTCATGATAATTTAGGTCTATGTATCTTAACTTGAATCCTCCACACCTTTAAGAATGCCTCTTGAGCTGATGCTCGAGCCCTCACTGAGAAAGAAGCTATGCTAATCTGTCCTTGATGAGGCTGCATTGATTATCTGAGATGTGGAAAATTCATAATAACCACTTCACTTAGTGCTTATAGGAAGCTTTATTATTACTAATATTCCTTAACTTACTAATTTCTAAAATATATAGCTTCTCACTGCTTATAACATTATGCTCCCAATTCCTACAAAAGCGTAAAAGAGGAATTTTACTGGAGTTACTTTATTTTAAATCAGAAAGTTAGGGCTCTTTAATAATGAAGACATTTAAAATCCTATTGTATAAATGACCTCCTTTGTGCTTTATAATACCACTCTTAATGATCGTTGAAAAATTTTGATGGTACTGTATTAATGTGGTACTTAACAAGATGACCAGTCTATATTAGCTTTTGGATTAATTTTCAAATTAATTTAAATAAAAAGGAATGGTTGTCAGTAAAGGAGAAGAGATTAAGTTCTTTTGTTCAGAGGAAGCTTCCTTTATAAATGATTTTTTTCATTTGTTTTTATTTTCCATAATTATCCTATAAATTACTTTTTTATAAAGAAATTATTTCAATTACATACCGTGTAGAGAAGAAATTGCCACTGCTCTCTCACATTCATGTTTTTTATACTGGCTGGTTGTAAGAGTACAGGGACCCACTCCTCTGTCCACATACTGTGTGTCAGTTGCCATGGCTCATTAACATGGTGTTCAATTGCTATGGATGAAATTGTATTCTCACTACTCCCTGCAAAATGTCAGCTACAAAACCAGAAAACCTGTTTAATCTTTTCGGCCAATATACTAATATTCTGCATATTTGTAGTTGTATTTGTTTTTATATATTATGTACTGCTCCTTGCGTGAAAGGATTCAAGGCTACTTTGTGGTGACATTAAACCAGGATTAAGAGGGGTTTATGTTATCTTTTTTTTAAAAGAATTTAGTGTGTGAACTCTTCGAAAGCTGACAGATGGAGTAACATTTTCCAATAGTAAAGAAAAGGTGGTGTAAGGAAGAGACTATTTAACTGAAAGTATGTTTGGTATTTCAGTGCCTTGCTAACTTGATGTATGATCTTCAGTGTATTACTTTATAGCTCTGAATGGGACTCACATTCCTGAGAAGATAAAGATGTGCAGAATGCAGAATCTAAGAGTTCAGGGAGGGAAAGACTCTAGGAATAGGTTCATCAGGGGTCCCCATGCATACCTGGCACACACCGAGCCCTGCGCTGGGGCATAAGGGGGTGAATAGGGATGAATTCCAGCTCAGCTTCTGGAGGCAGAGTGCCTTTTTGAGATTACTCTGCCCAGAGAGGATGTCTTTTTCTAATTTGCACAAAGGAGTTTTAATGTGCTGGTTGCTGCCCTCCTGCTCACCAAGTTTAAGGCTCATGTCAGTTGCTAATACTGATCAGTTGGTAGTGACTGTTTGAATCCCTGTGTCGGGTAAGATATCTATAGGTAGTGGAGGAAGGAGAAGTGGCATATAGTTATTGATTCCCAGGATTGAACTTTAATGGTTTAGAATATATATGTGAGGGGCGCCTGGCTGGCTCAGCTGGAAAAGCCTGCAACTCTTGATCTCGGGATGGTGAGTTTGAGCCCCACTTTGGTTGTAGGGATTGCTTAAAAATAAAATCTTTTAAAAAAAAGAATATAAATGTGAATATTTTATTAATTTCACAGTGTTTGGAAATGCAGGCTCAGGAATCAGACAGAATAGGAATTCCAGGTTTTTCACTTAACAGCTTTGTGACCATAGGCAACTTCCTTAATGCTCTAATCCTCTGTTCCTTATTTAGAGAGTGGGGATAATGATCATGCCTGCCTCTTAATATTAGGAGAACATATGCATATGTCACAGTGTGTCATAGCCTAGTGTCTCCTGTAGGGGAGGGAAAAAGTAAACCTCTTTTCTCTACCCGTTTTAGGTTCTCTGGCTGGAACTCTAAATTAGACTGGCCAAAAACAGATTGAGAGAAACAAACAAGTTTATTAACATGTCCCAGTGATGGGAGAGACAGACGGGAGTAATCCAAAGGGATGGCTAGAATTTGGGCTTACCCATCATCTTAGGCCAATCAAAAGAAAAGGTGTTTGGGACTTCTGGGTGGAGGAGGCAAGTTATGGGAAGGTGAACCAGGAAAAGGAGGATAAACCAGGGTTGTTTAGTCAGGTCGGTTATGCAGGTTTAAGTTAGAGCCTTTCCGTTGGTTAGAGCTGTTAGAGTCCACTTCCTTTCACCGTGAGAGGAGACATCTTTACAAATGGAAATTTCCTTTATAAATGTAAAATTTGGGGGCGTCTGGGTGGCTCAGTGAGGTAAGCCTCTTTGCCTTCTGCTCGGGTCATGATCTCGGGGTCCTGGGATCGAGCCTTGCATCGGGCTCTCTGCTCAGCGGGAAGCCTGCTTCCCCCCTCCCTGCCTGCCTCTCTGCCTACTTGTGATCTCTCTCTGTCAAATAAATAAATAAAATCTTTCAAAAAAAGTAAATTTACCTTAGGAAACATAATGGTGTTCCCTGATTTAGAGCTTTTTTCCTGCTTCTGCTGGTTCCCAGTGGTTGATACGCCAGGGGCACCTGGGTGGCTCATTCGCTTAAGCAGCCGACTCTTGATTTTCAGGTCATGATGTCAGGGTCGTGAGACTGGTCCTGAGTCCAGCGTGGAGTCTTCTTGAGACTCTCTCCTCTACCTCTGTCCCCTCCCCCCATCCCCACACTTGCTCTCTCTCTCTCAGATAGTCTATATGCATATTTTGAGGGGGCCATATTCTAGTACCTTTCACTACCTACTCTGTCTGTCTCTTACCCATTGAATTCTTTCTGTTTGCACTGCCACCTTTCTCCCAGATAATTGTAAGAGCTTCCTATCCTGCCTCTCCACTCCCAGTTGGGAGAGATCATATTAGACAGCCCTGAGTGGGTATAATACACAGCCATCAGTTGAAATTAAGGACAAGAGTAGAGTGGAGTAGGGGCGCCTGGGTGGCTCAGTGGGTTAAAGCATCTGCCTTCGGCCCAGGTCATGACTCCAGGGTCCTGGGATCAAGCCCCTCATCGGGCTCTCTGCTCAGCAGAGAGCCTGCTTCCCTTCCTCTCTCTCTGCTTGCCTCGCTGCCTACTTGTGATCTCTGTCTGTCAAATAAATAAACTCTTAAAAAAAAAAAAAAAGAGTAGAGTGGAGTAGGTACTAAGGCATAGAAAATATTTGGAACTTCCTTGTGGAATAATTGGTAGGGTGTCTACAAGGATTGTTTTGTGGCCCTGAGATTAGCATTAGAATTGAGTCCCTTAATTATAACCTTAGAATTTTCTCTAATAGTGTGCTGCAAACAGAATTGGGAGTAGAGAAAGTACCCGGAGGTTGTCCAGGATTAGAGATGTTTCTGAGTATGTGGAATGTAAGGAGGGCAAGGACTCCAGAAGAGTGAGACTGAAATGGCTGACCCCAAGTTTCAGGATATGAAGCCAGGTACTTGCACCTACATCCTAGATAAATAGAAAGCAAGAGGACTGAACTTGAGCTAATGTTAAGCAAGAGTATCAAGTTGCAGAGGAATAGCATTTATTTCAGATTCTAAAAAAGCATGTAAAATAATTGTTTTATTTCCAGACTTTACTTAAAGCCCCTTTATCAGTATTTTAGGCCAGATTCTTACCAGTTTGTTTCTCTGGTCTCACAACTCAATAAATTTAAAAGAGCAAATTGAAAAAGGTTAGATGCAACAGAAGTGAAGATGGAAGGGACACACACAACTACTAAATTTGACACAAAAAAGGATCAAAAAGCATATGAATTTAGGTTAAATTAGTGTAGGATAAATAGTCTGATGCCCAAACAGCACTAAGAGTACCTTTATTAAGTCAGCATTTGATAGCTGATGTTCATGATTAAGACTACAGCATATGAGGGGCACGTGGGTGGCTCAGTGGGTTGGGCCACTGCCTTCGGCTTAGGTTGTGATCTCAGGGTCCTGGGATCGAGCCCTGCATCAGGCTCTCTGCTCAGCGGGGAGCCTGCTTCCCCCCTCTCTCTGCCTACTTATGATCTCCCTCTCTGTCAAATAAATAAAAATAAAATCTTAAAAAAAAAAAAAGACTACCGCATATGAAAAATCAATTTAAATTTTATTTGGTGTATTGTTTTCATAAAGAGAGTATGCGATTATTTTAAGGTTTTTGTGAAAATGGTTATGATAGTAAAAAAAAACTTTTAGAAACTAAAAGGGGTAATTAAGCTACATGTATTTGAAAAATTCTCCCTTTTTTTAAAAAAAATGATTTATTTATTTATTTATTTATTTATTTGAGAGAGAGACAGTGAGAGAGAGCATGAGAGAGGAGAAGGTCAGAGGGAGAAGCACACTCCCCATGGAGGTGGAAGCCCGATGTGGGACCGGATCCTGGGATTCCGGGATCATGACCTGAGCCGAAGGCAGTTGCGTAAGCAACTGAGCCACCCAGGCACCCTGAAAAATTCTCTTATGTGCAACACACAATGCTTGTTTGAATAAAGAATTACTATAGTTTGAAACAGAAGATGATTGCTTGAGAGATAAATGACATTTTATAATTTTTGCTGGAGATACATTAACATATGTTTCTGTTTTTTTGACAGATTGTTTAACGAACAAAAGTGAAGAATTATCAAATAGCACACAATACTTCCTCAGTCTATTTAATCAAACCTTGACCTGCTTTGAGCATAACCTCCAGGTATTTTTTTTATGATACTTGAAATTAAAACGCTGCCTTGTACAAATGCTTAATGAATAATTCAACAATTTTTTTTTTAGCATTAACTGTTGATATTTACCTATCCACACAATGTAGAGGAGTAAGTGGACCTGGAGTTTTGCTAAGTTCTTAATATTACTGGCCTTTAGGAAAATCATCAAAACTTTAGTTTTCTTATTTGTAAGGTGGGAACAGTAAAATCTATCCTGCCTACCTTCAAGTATTTCGTAGCGAGGATCCGATGAGATACTGAGTATGAACACAGTAACTTAGGCATATGATTGTTTAATTAAAAACACAATGTTGGGGGCGCCTGGGTGGCTCAGTGGGTTAAAGCCTCTGCCTTCGGCTCAGGTCATGATCCCAAGTTCCTGGGATCAAGCCCCGCATCGGGCTCTCTGCTCTGCGGGGAGCCTGCTTCCCCCTCTCTCTCTGCCTGCCTCTCTGCCTACTTGTGATATGTCTGTCAAATAAATAAAATCTTAAAAAAAAAAAAAAAAACAACACAATGTTGTTCTGACAGTAATTTACCTTGGCTTTGTTTATGCAATAAGGTATTATGTAATGCAGTATATGATTCTGTCTACAGGCAGCTAATTCTTTGCCTTAGTATTTGCTTGATTGTATTTTACCTGCTTTAAAAGGCACTGCTTAGTAAGGTAGCTGAATTATAATATAAAAGGTAGCCTTTAAGAAACCTACCCTTGGGGTGCCTGGCTGGGTCGGTAGAGCATGTGACTCTTGATCTCGGGAATGTGAATTCAAGCCCCATTTTGGTTGTAGAGATTACTTAAAAAAATAGAATCTTAAAAAAAAAAAAAAAAGAAACCTCTTTCTGGTTTTTGTTTTCTCCACCTCTGACCCTTGAATGGTCTTGGAACTTTCCTGGTGGTTTTGAGGGCTGAGATTGGAACTCTGATAAAATCCTAGATTTGGAATTTGCTTAACAAGCAAGTAATCCCTGCAAATAGATGTAAAAATGTTTAGTATAAGATATATATGATTTCATCTTTAATCAATGTGATGACACGGGATTACGAATTTCCCGGAGAATAAGAAGGACTGTTAGATAAGCAGGTCCCAAGAGGCACCCTCTCTTTTGATTTCTTTTAGTAATTTAATGGTTTCATTTTCTGCATTTAAACATCTTTTCTCTATCTGAAATATATTTTGGCGTACGATGTGAGGCATAGCTCCAAGCCTTTTTTCCTGATGAAATGAATTGTAGAACCAAGTTAAAAAAAATTCAATCATTTTAAGATTTTATTACAGTTACATTACACTTAGATCCATCATTTGGAAATAATTGACATGTTTATGATACTGAGCTTTCCTGTTTAGGAATATGGTATATTCTCTTTTTATTGCTGTAAAATAGAATATAAGACTTACAGTTCAGTGGCATTAAGTATATTCATGTCATTGTGCAACTATCACCAGCATCTATCTCCAGAAGTTTTTCAAACTCAGGCTCTGTATCCATTAAGCAGTGATTCCGCATGTCCTCCTCCTCTAGCTCCCAGCAACCACCATTTTTCTCTATTTTTTAAATGTCCTCTAACACAGTCTTACTGATTTATTTAGTTTCGTATAGGTTTTATACATTTCCAATGCTTATTCCAAGGTATTCTATTGCTTTTGGTGCCATTGTGAATGACATCTTTTCTTCCCCCGCCACAGATTTTCACTGGTTACTTTCTTTTAAAATGTTTTATTTTGAAATAATTTTAGATTTACAGAAAAGTTGCATAGGTAACGCAGAGAATTCCTGTATATTGCTGACCCAGTTTCCCCAGATGTCAGCCTGTGGTACCATGGTCTATTTGTCAAAACTAAGAAATCAACATTGGTACAGAGCTGTTAACTAAATGCCAGACTTTATTCTGATTTTACCACTTTTCCCACTAATATCCTTTTTCTGTTTAAGGATCCATTCCAGGATAACAAGTAACTGGTCACTCCTTAAAATTTCTATCGTATATGTAGCTACATTCCCTTTCTTATTCCAAATGCTATTTTTTTGTGAGTTCTTTCTTCCCTTGAGTTTTCTTTAGGTTTAAGGGTACGTTCGTTTTTATTGATCTTTCCAAAAACTTGTGTTTGGTTTTATTATGTCCTGAGTGGTTTATTTTTTCCTCTTAATGTGTTTATTCTTTTGCATTTATTCCTCCTAGAATCTTTCGGTTAATTTTGTCTTTTTTTTTTTTTAAAGATTTTATTTATTTATTTGACAGGCAGAGATCACAAGTAGGCAGAGAGGCAGGCAGAGAGAGAGGGGGAAGCAGGCTCCCTGCTAAGCAGAGAGCCCAATGCAGGGCTCGATCCCAGGACCCTGGGATCATGACCTGAGCCAAAGGCAGAGGTTTTAACCCACTGAACCACCCAGGCACCCCTAATTTTGTCTTTTTTCTAGTTCTTTGAGTTGACTGGTTAATTTTGTTCCAGCTTTTCTTGCTCAACAATAAAATAATTTTCAGGTTGTAAAGTTTATAACTTTGGCCTTTCTGAAAATAGATTCTGATATAAAGGGATTACATTGCATTTATTTCTAAATTTCTAATTTTAATTTTGATTTGTTCTTTGACTTAAGAATTCTTTGGAAGATTGTTTTTTATAGGAGTGACATGATTTCTTTTATTTGCATTAGTACATCTCAAGTTTTATTGAAATTGTGACCAGTAAATGTAGCCTATCTATATTTTGGAATTTATTGAGATATCTTTGTGACTTAATAATTATTAAAAATGTTTTAAAAAAATTTTAAAAAGATTTATTTATTTTAGAGAGCACAAGCAGGAGGGGCAGAGGGAGAGGGAGAGAGAATCTCAAGGAGACTCCGCACTGAGGGCAGAGCCCGATATGGGGCTTGATCCCAGTGCCCTGAGATCAGGACCTGAGCTGAGATCAGGACCTGAGCCGAGACCAGGAGCTGGATGCTTAACCAACTAAGCTGCCCAGGCAACCCTGAAGGTTTCATTACGTAAGCATGATTGGTTAACTGGTGATTAACTCTGTCTCCAGCTCCTCTTCCCTCCTTAGAGGTCAGAGGTAGGGCTGAAAGTTCCAACCTCCATTCATGCTTTCTGGTGAACAGCCTGCATCCCGAAGCTGAAGGGGACTCCCAGCCACCAGCCATCTGATTAGCATACAGAGGCACTCTTTTTTTTTTTTTTAAAGATTTTATTTATGTAGTTGACAGAGAGAGAGAGAGATCACAAGTAGAGAGAGAAGGGGAAGCAGGCTCCCCACTGAGCAGAGAGCCCGATTCAGGGCTCGATCCCAGGACCCTGAGATCATGACCTGAGCCGAAGGCAGAGGCTTAACCCACTGAGCCACCCAGGCGAGAGGCACTCCTTTTATCTGCATACTCCAAAGGTTTTTAGGAGCTGTGTGCCAGGAACCAGGACAAAGACCAAATATCTATTTCCCATTATTACCACACTTAAGCCTCCTGGGATCTGTGACAATTTTTCAGTCTTTCCTGTTTCTCGTGACTGATAATTTTGAGGAATACTGGTCAAATATTTTATAGAATGTCCCTCAATTTGAGTTTGTCTAATGTTTTTCCCCTGGTTACACTGGGACTGTGGGTTTTGGGGAAGAGCTCTGCAGAAGTGAAGTGTCCTTCTCGCCACATCCTGTCAGAGATACACAAAAATGACCTGGTTTACCCCTGACGGTGTTATCCTCATCACCTGGACAGGGTAGTGCTTGCAGGTCTCTTCAATGGAAAGTTACCTTTTTCTTCCTCTTTCCATATTCTATTCTTTGGAACCAAGTTATGAAGTAATAGGAATGGGGGTGGGGAAATTAAGCTTTAAGTCTTGGAGGGGGGAGCATTTACCTAAATTATTTAGCAATCTTTCTGTAAGGAGGATTTGCCACTTCTTCCACATTTATTTATTTATATCAATATGGGCTCAGGGACATTTATTTCATACATTGGGTTGTAATTAATTTTTAAAAGTTTTTCTCCTGAGGCGCCTGGGTGGCTTCGGTCAGTTAAGTGGCTGCCTTCGTCTCAGGTCATGATCCCAGGGTCCTGGGATCAAGTCCCAAGTGGGGCTCCCTGCTGAGCAGGGAGCCTGCCTCTCCTTCTTCCTCTGCCTGCTGTTCCCCTTGCTTGTGCTCTCTCTCTTTTTCTCTGTGTCAAATAAATAAATAAAATCTTTAAAAAAATAAATAAAAGTTCCCTCCTATTTGTTGAATGAATTCTTTTTCATTGAGGCATTGGCTCTCCTGCATAGTAATCTATTTTCCCTTTGAATAATTTTATTTGCTTGTTTTTTAAAAATTTATTTTATTTTGTTTTCTTTTTCTATCCATTGTTAGGCTCATCTTACTTTCTTATGTGCTTATGTGGTAATGTAATAGGATGGTTGTACCAGATTGGGAGGGCTGGAAGAAATCTCTCTCTCTCTCTCCATGTAGAGTTTGGTTTCTGTAGCTTGGCTTTCAAAAGTTACCTCAAGGGACGCCTGGGTGGCTCAGTTGGTTAAGCGGCTGCCTTCGGCTCAGGTCATGATCCCAGCGTCCTGGGATCGAGTCCCACATCCGGCTCCTTGCTCGGCAGGGAGCCTGCTTCTCCCTCTGCCTCTGCCTGCCTCTCTGTCTGCCTGTGCTCTCTGGCTCTCTCTCCCTCTGTCTCTGACAAATAAATAAAATAAAATCTTAAAAAAAAAAAAAAAGTTACCTCAAGCAGGCTCTATGCACTCACTTCAACAAATATTTATTGGGCACTGATTATGTGTCAGGAGGCAGTGTTTTGGGCACTGAGGATAGAGCAGTAACCAAGACAGGTAAGATTTCTGTTTTTATAAACTATGTCCTAGTAGGGGTAAGATTAATAACAAAGAAATGAGGTAATTAAGAGTAATGAGTCCCAGAAAAGGAGTGTAGTGTACTACATTAGGTGGGCAGGGAGTACCTCTCCAAGCAGGTGAATTTTGAGATTATCTAAAGTTTAAGATAGAGTCAGCCACAGGAACAATGTTTTCCTTAGAAGCAAGGATAAAGGCCTTGGGGAAGAGAATAAGCTTGGTATGTGCCAGGAATAGGAAGAAGGCCCATTTGGCTGGAGCACAGTGGGCATATGTGAATGTGATATGGGGAGATAGGCAGAGGCCAAATCATGTAGAACTGTGCAGAACAAAGGAAGAAATATGGATTGAATTTTAAGCACAATGGGAAGCCATTTAAATCAGGAATGTGACATGATATGAATTGCATGTTAATACAGCATTCTGGCTGCCCTGTGGAGAAACTCAGTTGAACCTAGGCAAGAATGGAAAGAAGAAACCTAATTAAGAGGCTGTCACAGGAGAGAGATGGTGTGGACTGGGGTACTGGCTGCAGTGTTGCAGAAACGTAGATCAATTCAGGATATATTTTGGAAGTGTATCTAAGAGGACTTGCTGGTAGATTGGGTAATTCCTGAGAATGGTGGAGGCTGATGGAAAAGGAAGAAGAACCAGGGTTCTCCTAGGCTTTTGGCTCTGCGTAGCTGAGAGGATGATGGAGCCTCAGGAAAGACTGGTTGTAAGGGATTGGGATTCTGTCTTGAACAAGTTAAGATGAAATAGCTATTAAGTATCTAAGTTGAAATATCGAATAGTGTTATAAATGAAATTGGAGTGCAGGGGAGATGCGTGAGCTGGAGATAGAGATTTGAGAATCGTCAGATCAGGTACAGATGACATTTAAAGCCGTTGAGACTGGATGTGAGTGAGTGAAGCTATATGATATAAAGAAGCCCCAAAGACTGAGTTCTGGGGATATTAAAGGTAGTGTGTTTGTGTGTGTGTGTGTGTGTGTGTGTGTATGTTTGTGTGTGTAAGGGAACCAGCTAAAGAGACAGTGGTGCACTGGGACGAGGCGGTGTGAGAGCACCTGGCTCCGGGGGTCCCAAGCACACCAGGTGTGGCCGCTCATTGCTGACTAAATCCAAAGGCAGAGAAATGAATGGTGATGGTGTTGAAACCAGAAAGGAATTTCAGTGAGGCCTACACTGGGAAGTGGGGCTGGGGTGGGGGATGGGGCTGAGTTAGCCTCTGAAAGACTGTCACCAAAGTGCCTGCCAAAACTCCTTCCAGGTTTATATAGGAGAATGTGGGGCAAAGGTGGGCGGAAACCTGCAGGCAGTCTTTGAAGGTCAAACGGATCATTGTCATGGAATCATTCCGGGTGGGGTCTTACAGGCTAGGGCAGTTCTTGCAGCTTCAGGGGGTACTGTTGGCTCCCATTAGGGGATGCTCTGCCCTCAGGGTCTTCCACTTGAGTCAAGAGACCAATGGGAAAGAAAAACCCTACTAAAAAGTTTGAGTCAAAAGGGAAGTAACGAAGTCCTCTTTCTTTCTTTTTTTTTTTTTAATTTTATTTTTTATAAACATTAATATATTTTTATCCCCAGGGTTACAGGTCTGTGAATCGCCAGGTTTACACACACGATGTCCTCTTTCAAGGGTAGCAATGAAACTGGTGATGTGGGCTGTGGCAGTGGCTCCAAGCTCGGTGACTGGGCTGGGATGTGGGTTTAAATTCCAAACCAGATCCATCTGGGGTAGTTAAGTGTTTGTAGATGGCTTCTCTGGAAACCTGTACTGTCTTGGTGGCTGTGGAAAGACTGTTTTTTGTGGATGGATTTGCTGGCAAGTTAGAGCTACTGTGCTCACCTGTTGCATCTCTAGAGGATAGTGGGTGGGCGCAGAGGATCAAGGTTCACAAGGGACTGGTTCTGGTGAGTCCCTCTGGGGCAGGAATTGTAGCTTGTCTTACAGTATAACCTTCCTGTAAGGAGAATTGCATGTCACCTCTTTCTATTTTAGGTGTTACTCAAGTGCCTGGATTTACCTTTCTTTTCTTAATCTCTTCAGTAAGGAAGTTAGGACACAAGGCACTGGGCTCTGTCATCCTCTTCCCAGAACGCTACTTCCTCATTCCTTTCAAGCACTGCAAAGCTTTTTTCGTTAGGCTCTGCCCTCGTTTATTCAGTCAGTCCCCATGTTGATGGAGATTTTTATCTGGTTCAGTATTTTACGATTACAAACATGTCTTTTTTTCCCATATAACTTGGAGTATTTCTCTGACTTTCACTGTCTGGTGGATTCCTAGAAGTGAAATTATTCTGTCAAAAGGTATGTGCGTTTTACATTTTCATATCAGTGGCTAAATTACATTCCCCCTTCAAGGTTCTGTGCTCTATGTTTGACCTAACACATTTAGCTAAAAGCACCAGGGTTCTGTGAAAAACAGGTCATGTGCTTTTTCTTGTGGCAAAACTAAGGAGACTGTTTCTCTGTCAGATAGATGGTGAGGGTAGCATTGTGGGGGCTACATCAGTTGAATTCCTTTAATTTTTCTTCTTCTCTTTCATTCCAGCATTTTCCTTTAGGCTCTAAGGTAAAGAATAAGGGGAAGAGAAAGCAGGATTGTGAACTGACTGGTTAAGCACACTTGTTCTTGAAAAGACAAATTTCGGTTCGGGAAGTAGAAAAGGTTGAGATTCAGTAATATAATATCTTATATGTTATATCCACTACCTTCACGTTAGGTTATATAATTTTTTGGCATTAGTCCCTTTTTGTTGACTAGAGAGGCCTGGATTACAAGCCTTGGGATAAGAGAGTGGAGTGGGGATGTAGTTTTGGTGCCTTTTCCTTCCCCATTAATAAAGTCCCCTCTGTTTCAGTAAGGCAGACTTCAGTGTTAAGTCAGCTCAGGCAAGGACATATTTTATTTATTCTGTGAGAGTAAGCTAGATAATGACCAGATGATTTAGGAAATTTTTGGTATTTAGGCATTAGTAATTTGGCATCTGAGCTGTTGTTCTCTGTTACCAGTGGCTAGTACAGTGGTTTTCTTCCTTCCTTCCTTCTTTCCTTCTTTTAGAATCTAAAGTCTAAAAGAAGGAAAGAAGGAAGGAAGAACTTCCTTCCTTCCTTCCTTCCTTGTTTCCTTCTTTTAGATTTTATTTATTTTAGAGAGAAAGAAAGACAACATGAGTGGGAGGGCAAGAGGGAGAGAGAAAATCTCAAGCAGACCCCACACTGAGCGCGGAGCCCACTGCAGGGCTTGATCCCAGGACCCTGTGATCATGACCTGAGTCAAAGCCAAGAGTCCGATGCTTAACTGACTGTGCCACCCAGGCGCCCCTGTTTTTGCTATATGCTTGCCTTTCATACCAGGTCTCTCTAGTCCTTGAGATCTATAATACAGGTAGTGGTAGCAATATATTATAGATGATAAAACTGAGGCTTAACAGTGATTTACTAATCTGTCTAGCATCACAGCTCTGTACTTCAATGTGCTATATTTTTCCTGTACTTGTACTCTAGGAGGCCAAATAGCTTATGTTAAAGAGATGTAATGTATATTATATGTGCCTTTGATGTTTTAGGGGAGCATTCACAGTCTTCAGCAGTTAAGGAATTATTCAGAAGTTTGCAAAAACTGTCGTGAAGCATACAAAACTCTGAGTAGTTTGTACAACGAAATGCAGAAAATGAATGAACTTGAGAATAAGGCTGAATCTGGAACACATTTATGCATTGATGTGGAAGATGCAGTAAGTAATTCACTTCTGATATGATGTGTATTTTGCGGTATTGTTGATTGTGCCTTTAGTATCATTATCCCCTTTAGAGGTAGGTTGGAATCTGTATATGCTGTCTTCAACTAGGAATTACTGGTTATAAGTAGTAAAATTTTAAAATATCCTGATCTGTCAAACTAAAATGGACACTAATCAAGTACTTCATAAATGAGTTGAGAATTTGGTATATTTGGTCTTTCAAGGGTTTTTGTTTGTTTGTTCGTTTGTTTGTTTTTTTTTTTTGGTCTTTCAAGTTTGATGATATGTTTCATTTGCCAGAGGCATTGGTGTTATAAGTTTACATTTCAGTTTCTTGTGCGCTTGTTGCTGATTAAAGAGGTCTTTGGTTTGCTATCATTGTGTTTCTGCAACCATTTATATCCCACTGCTTTTATTTTTCATTATCATCGGAAAATTTTAATTTGTTTTCTTATTTATAGCCTGTCACCCCTCACTAAAAAATTAGCCACATGAGGACAAGGACCTCATGTCCTTTTTTGTTTGCTATTCAGTATTTAGCCCAGTGCCTAGCATGTAGTGGGCCCATTAGTAATGTGTATTGTTTGGCAAGAAGAGCCTTTTCCTCCATGGTGTAGGCTGCCTTCACATGGGGCACCACTAGATGGCGTTCCTGCCTTTTTATGGGACTGTGGTGCCTGAGTTTTGAGGCATCCAAGGAAAGAGAAATTACTGGCTCAAAGAGAGCTTAAGGTCCAAATTGATAAACTTAATGGTTGAGAATGATGAATGTGAATAACAACAGCTCAGAGTGAACTATAGTCCATCAATAATATTCGAGATGGTAAAAAGCACTTAATATCAAACTTAAAATGGGTGCATCATGGGGATTTTTGTTTTTTTTACTGCTCTAATGTCTGGATTAGTACCTGGCTTCCAATAGGCTCTCTATAAACACTAAATGTATGTTTTAAGAATAATAGCCTATTTCATAATTTTTAAAATAAAGAAAAATGAATATCGATTCTCTGACATAAGTTGGTTTACACAGGACTTCAACATGACCCCCTGTTTTAGAACATCCTTCTCATAATAAGCAAAACTTAGCAGTAAACATACAAAGCACCAATTGCAAATCAAATCTCAGACAAAATTCAGGCAAGAACATTATTAAATTTATATTCAACATTAAATTTGAGAGTTTCCATATATCACTTAGCATGTTTGACAGAAACCATGGGCTCAGTGAAAATGAGGTATTGCTGACCCTAAATGTTGGTTTTTACTGTATGCGGCTAAATAACATATTATCTAATACAGTTTCCATGACTCATTAGATATTATGTACTTAAATTGCTTGCCATCTGAATCTTTCATAATATCTTGGGTAATATGCTAAACATTTCATAGAAATCATCTCTTGAAGAGCAGCTATATTTAGTTGATATTTTTACTTCCAGTCTAAAAATAACGCGGCAAGCTCAGTGAGATTATATGTAACGTAGAAAAAAGTTTTTTGTTTTTTGTAAGCCTTCCCCCCTAGTTTTATTGAGGTATAATTGACAAATAAAATTGTAATATATTTAATGTGTACAGTGTGATAATTTGATATATGCACATTGTGAAAGGGTTTGCACAGTTGAGTTAATTAACACACCCATCACCTCACATAATTACCCTTTTCAGTCTTTTTTAATGAATGAAGCATGGTCTAACCATATACGTATTGTTACGGATTCTCTGTTTGCAATCTGTGAAGGTTGGCATTCTTTGGATGGTGCTGTGAATTTAGAATATGAAATTTCTATATGGATATAAACTTACATAATGACTGTGAACTTCCCTGGCAGAAGAAATTGTCTTCAACTATCAGTAGATTTTTTAGGGATATATATTTAAATTCTGGATGCCTGTTATGTTATTAATAAAACAATTATATGAATTGAAGACAAATTAAATGTAAAATAAAATAATTTTATTTGTTACTGTTCCAGATGAATATTACCCGAAAACTTTGGAGTCGAACTTTCAATTGTTCAGTCCCTTGCAGTGACACAGTGCCTGTCATCGCTGTTTCTGTGTTTATTCTCTTTCTACCTGTTGTCTTTTACCTCAGTAGCTTTCTTCATTCGGAGCAAAAGAAACGCAAACTCATTCTACGTAAGTTCCTTTTTACAACTGTTTATTTATTTAGCTAACACCTGTATTTTAAACATTTAGGCCTGTTTTAGAAATGATGTATATGCTCTGCAAACTCAAACTGTATTAAGCTAAAAAAGCTTTTTACTTCAAATTTTAGTTACACTTACTAATAGAAGAGATATGTAAGAAGTTTATAATTACAGATAATCAAAGTCAACAGTACAGGATCTTTCGGATGTTTTAATTGAGAAAGCATGGAATAAAGCTGGCAGCAACAGAAGAATAGCAACAAAGGTTTTGCAGACTTGAAATGGCCATAGTAGGGAGATAGACAGCTGTTAGGCGCATTGAAGCCACGGCAGAGCCACCTAGAAAGCCATCTAAAAAGGCACGTAGAAACTATGGTGAAAACACAGATGATTTATGAACAAATTAGAATCCTAGTTGCAAGATCATTACTTGACATACAGCATGTGATCAACACATACTCCCCATCAAATAGGGCAGAGCAGAAAAAGCACTAACTAGAAAATCCCATCTAGCTGAAGAAGAGTGGCTTCTAAGTGTCATGGTTTCTTATTTATTACCAGGATGAAGATATGGGCTTATCCCTTAGTAATTTTAATCTTAATTTTTATTTATTTATTTTTTTAAAGATTATTTATTTATTTATTAGACAGAGATCACAAGCAGGCAGAGAGGCAGGCAGAGAGAGAGGAAGGGAAGCAGGCTTCCCACTGAACAGAGAGCCCGATGTGAGGCTCTATCCCAGGACCCTGAGATCATGACCTGAGCCAAAGGCAGAGGCTTTAACCCACTGAGCCACCAAGGCGCCCCAGTAATTTTAACTTTTTAAATAGAGAATGCCTTTTGTAGAAAAAAGTTAGGCTTTTTTTCTCTTAAAAATTATTCTAGTCTAGGAACCTATGAAATAAAAATTCTTTCCCTTATAAATATTTCTTTTTTTTCTTTCTTTCTTTCTCTTTCTCTCTTACTCTTTCTTTCCTTCCTTCCTTTCTTTCTTCCTCCCTTCCTTCCAGCTTTACCTGTTTTAGAGAGAGGGCACGAGCAGGGGGAGGGGCAGAGGGAGAGAGAACCTCAAGCAGACTGCACTGAGCATGGAGATCATGAGATCATAGCCTTAGCTGGAATCAAGAGTTGGGATCCCTAATTGACTGAGCCACCCAGGCACCTCCCCCCAATAAATTTCTTTCTAGCCTTTCTTAGTTCTTCATAGTTTATTTAACCTCACTTCTAATATATCTAACTAAAAAAAGGTTACTTACAGATCAGTTTTAACTGAATTTGTAATGTTTTGTTTCCTTGAGAAGCTAGCTAATAGAAGGAAGAGTCTTTAATATGAGGGTATGAGGGTTTTTGTATGTTTGTTTTATAAAGCACTATCATCCATCTGTTTGTACAAGCCACAAACCTTGTTATCTTTAATTTCTTAATTCTTTTCTTTTTTTATTTCCCTATTCCCATATTCTCTTTCCCACACCTTTTCACTACCATCAACAAGTACCAATAGCCCTACTTCCAAAAATGTTTCTTAAATTATCTTTCCTGTACCTCCATGATAATACCCTACCCCAAGTCATCCCATCTCTTAACCAAGCATTTGGGAGTCCCCTAACTGGTATCCCTGCTTCCATTTTTTTGACCCACTACAATCCATTCTTCGTGTAGTGGCTAGAGTGATTTTTTAAACACAAATCATACTATGCTTTTCTCCCACTTAAAACCCTTCATGTGTTCCTGTTGCATCTAGAATAAAATTGAAATTTAACTTCTAAGCTATGTGTGACCTGGTTTCCCATCTAACTTTCTAAACTCACTGTATCCACTTCTCTCTTTGCTCATGATGCTCTGTGTAGGTAGCTTGGCCTTCTTTTTGCTCCTCTCAAACACCGGACTCATTCACACTGCCTGCTTCCCAAAGCTTTTGTACTGGCCCTCCCTACTTCCCTTGACTGACTCCTTGACATCCAGGTCTTAGGTCCGCGATTACTTACTTCAAGTTACCTTTTACGACCCTCATAAGAATACATCCTTCTTTTAATTCTCCTATATCTATAATCTTTCTTTAATGATACTTAATCACTTTTTAAATGAACTTGTTCATTTATTTTCTACCTTATTTTTGTTTGTTCATTTATTTTCTACTTAGTTTATGTCTTACAGTTGACTCAATTGTAAGCTCCATCAGAATAAGGATTTTGTTTATCTTGTTCATCACTGTATCACCAGCATCTAGAAAGTACCAGGCCTATAGTAGGTGCCCAAAAATATTCATCGAGGGCCGCCTGGGTGGCTCATTGGGTTAAAGCCTCTGCCTTCAGCTTAGGTCATGATCCCAGCATCCTAGGATCGAGCCTCGTGTCGGGCTCTCTGCTCAGCAGGGAGCCTGCTTCCTCCTTTCTCTCTGCCTGCCTCTCTGCCTACTTGTGATCTCTGTCAAATAAATAAATAAAATCTTAAAAAAAATTCATCGAATAAAAGAACATTGTATTTAATGATAGCATTTCCTAGAGTGTGTTCATTAAAATGCTAATCCTGTGAAATTCCTTTTTATGATCTTTATAATGTACCTGAATATAAATTAAAGGCTCTAAGATTACATTCCCCAAACTTGACAGTAGAACTTTTGCATAACACCTATTAATGTTTCCTGGAAGCATTGTTTATGAATTGATTAATGAATTTAAGAAAATGCTAGTGTAAGCAAACAGTTCTTATGCTGTTACCTGATGGACTTTGTTACTTACTTTTCTTTATGCCACAGTTTTTTATGTCCCCATTTGTCAAGTTCTATGGTAGAAATTAGAGATTAAAAAAAGGAACAAGGCACAATATATACCCTCAAAGAACACACTGCTGTAATCCAGTTACTACAACAAATGTAGTGGAGGCATGCAGTGTGGTTGGAATAAGACTAACTCTGCATTTGGGATGTTGGAACTCATCATTAGATGACGATCTCTTGGGTAGAACTGGTTTTTTGTTTGTTTGTTTGTTTGTTTTGTTTTGTTTTTAGTATCCCCTGGGGTAGAATTTTGAAGGATGTAAGGATTTATCAGAGAATAAGGAAACAAGGAAGTTGGAGATCTATGTACTCATTGATATTGTCACCTGGTTTGTTTAATAAATTTGGTACTTAATAGGAAGCTAGATGACTTCTAGTGGTTTTAAACAGCATAATAATAATAAAAATAAAGCCCTCTTAATTTAGTTTGCCTTCCAAATCCACAGAAGGCTTAAGAGTAGACTCCTAGCTTTGGCTGTTTTTTAGGTTCAGTTGCCCTTTAGTTTAGCCTGAAGCAATACACTGGTCCCGAACGTTATGTTGTCATCTTGCACTCAGAGTGAAAACCAGCAGAGGCTGTGATAGAAACTAAAACACTGGTTTTCACCCTTGAGCGCATATCAGAATTGTCTGTAGAGCTTTAAAGCAGAACAAAAAAGTAGGTGCCTGGGTCCCATTGCAGACCTTCTAACTCACAGCCTCTACTCTCATGTTGAAAAACCTCTGAAAGTGGAGAGATTCCTCCTTATGTAATGTAAGATACTTTTACTCCAGCACGGTTGTTTTTCATTTCTGGAACATGAGAAACATCGATGTTTAACTATCAGCATGAGTATTACCAAGTGAAATAGCATGATTTTCTTTACTAACCCTAATGACTCAGTCCCATTGGCATCGTAATCAAAATTGATTGTATATATTTTATTAACAGCCATATATAATTGTGTGTCTATGTCTGTGTGTGTAATACAACTCACTTTTCTTCGTAAGCCATTTAAATTTTTTTCTACTTGGACAGTTTTTTTGACATTATAGAATTATTTTAAGAGAAATCTAGATTTGAATTTCTAACTTAGACTTTTAAATATATCATTATATTATTGTACCTTATAGCACTTCCAGTTTTTTTTTTTTTTAAGATTTTATTTATTTATTTGACAGACAGAGATCACAAGTAGGCAGAGAGGCAGGCAGAGAGAGAGGAGGAAGCAGGCTCCCTGCTGAGCAGAGAGCCCGATGCGGGGCTCG